GTGGCTGTGGACACCTTCACTAGTGTGACGCGTTTTGGTGAGCGAGCTCCCAAAGGCAAAACCGTGTGGGGAAGGTTGAAAGTACCCAGAGCGGACAATATCGCACTACGGGTCTAGATTGCTGGGCTGTTACAGTGGTATCAGAGCCAGTACCCGGGCCAAGTGCCAGCGAGGACGCTGGGCCCCTGTGAGGGGGGTGGATGCAGATATCCCACATCGGTTGTGAAGGAGAACGAAGCATGCCATATAAGTGGCTGTGGACACCTTCACTAGTGTGACGCGTTTTGGTGAGCGAGCTCCCAAAGGCAAAACCGTGCGGGGAAGGTTGAGAGTACCCGGAGCGGACAATATTGCACTACGGGTCTAGATTGCTGGGCTGTTACATTCGAGGTCTCGATCATTTATTTAGAGAAGCTCGAGTTTGAAGGTGCATATTAGTAAAATAAATGAAAAAGCCATTTACGTGGGTCCCGCAAAGTCACCTGTGACTTCGGTTTACCAAGAATCGAGTTGGGGCGTATAGATAATTCAGGTACGATGTCATACGGGGCATTTATCGAGTATTTCGGAGTTCCGAGCATTTAATTAGAGAAACTTGAATTCCCGTGGGAATAGTAGCAAAATAAGCGAGAAGAGGAGACTTCGGATGTTCCGTTGGGCCTCGATAAGCGAGTCGAGCATTAACGAAAAGTGCTTTCGAGAAAGCACGAGAAGAGGAGAAGCTGTTTATGGCGTCGATTTATTATTTCGAGGTCCCGATCATTTATTTAGAGAAGCTCGAGTTCGAGGGTGCATATTAGTAAAATAAATGAAAAAGCCGTTTACGTGGGTCCCGCAAGGTCGCTTGTGACTTCGGTTTACCGAGAATCGACTTGGGGCGTGTAGATAATTCAGGCACGATGTCATGCGGGGCATTTATTGAGTATTTCGGAGTTCCGAGCATTTAATTAGAGAAACTTGAATTCTCGTCGGAATATTAGCAAAATAAGCGAAAAGAGGAGATTTCGGGTGTTCCGTCGGTCAAGAAATTTCAAGAATAATTTGGTCATGCAAGCATCATTGAATAGAGGGAGTCGTTAGCTACGTATAGAAAAAAACGATACTCAATTCCGAGTTCAGACGATCCCAAACGAGCTCGAAACACAAAATACATATTAAATATTAATTTTTTTCATTACTTTTAAAATATAAAACGTATTATAAAAATACGTTTTATTTATTAATTTTTTTAAAAAACGTATTATAACAATACGTTTTATAATGTTTTTTATTTTTTATTTTTAAATAAAATTAATTATAACACGTATTCTAAGAATACGTTTTTTAAATAAAATCTAATTATTAAAACGTATTCTGAGAATACGTGTATTTGATTTTGGGCTACTAATTTTTTTTGTTTTATTTTTGTCCACTTATTTTTTTTATTTTTTTTGAAAAATAAATTACCAGTTTTAATGAGGCATGGTATATCATCTGAATCCTTTTCAATGTGCTACCAAATATTGTGAAGAAACTGTCAGTTTATTGAATATTGACGTAATAATGTAATAATATGTGGGGCAATACAATATATGGGTTCTCTATTGCATAAATGCAAGGTGGATTGATGGAAAGATTCATGTTTTAAATACTTAGAGTAATTAAGAGTTTGACCCATCTTTTGTTTTTGAAATATTTGATCCTTGAATGATAGCTCAAACACAGATTTTAAAAGTATAGTAGTCTGCAACCAACAATGAAGTAAATGCAGGTCAGAATTCAAGCTTGCATTAACAAATATATTTGTTTGAATTTTATTAATATGTATATTGTTTACTAGTATAATACCGTGTATCATATGTGTGCTGAATTAAGAAGCATAATAAAAAATTTAATGCTTTTATTTTAAGAATAGTTTGTACAACATTATTGATTTGATTCTTTGGCACGTAAACTACTACATAGGTGTTCAAATTTATCCAAAATTGCATATTATTAGTTATTAGTTAACAAATTTTTTAAAAAATAAAGGATCTTATTTACTGAACAAAATTAAAGTAGAAAAAAAAGTAGAATTTTTTAGGGATCTTCACCCATTATTTATTTTAAATCTAATTCTAAATTTCAATTAAGAAAAATTGAAAAGAATCATTAGTTATTCCGGAAATGAAACCGATTTTCATACCAATAAACCGATTTTTTTATCAAACAAATTGATCCGAATTTTTTTTTTTAAACCAAATAAAAAAAATTATCAATTTTTCCTAAAAATGCAACCAAAATTTTCTAACATTGCACCAATTTTTGTATCAAACAAATTGAATTGAAAATAATTCTAATAAAAAAATAAAATAAATTGTTAATGTTTATGCAACTGTCTCTTTCCTAAAGAAAATGATATGAACTTAACAAAAAAAAAAATGATATGAACTTACCAAAATCTCGGTAAAACATGATTAAGAAAAAACATATGAATCCAAAAACATCGATGCACTTAAATTTTGAAAAGTTGCATACAATTTTTTCTAAATAATTGGATAAGGTGACTTTAAATATCAATGATGAACTGCTTTTGTTACCATAAAACGTGGACACAATTTTGAATGTACATCCCGTCCAAATATCAATTTTATTTTAAAATAAAAATTGCACGTGGCTTTATCCAATTTACACAATTTTTTTGAAAGAATAAATTATTCAATAAGATTGGAAGAATTGGTTAAGAATTATACAACTATTTGTTTCTTAAATTTATATCCAATTTGCACAAATTTCAAATTAATTTGTATTTAGAATTATTTTCATAAATAATTGACACATTTTTTGCATAAGAATCTCTAAATTTATTACCAAAAAAGATATGATTTAAATTTTGGTAAAAAAATAAAATATGATACGAAAAAAATGGGATTCAAATTTTGTCATAAGAATCTCCAAATTTGTTACAAAAAAATAAGATTTAGATTTTATTATTAAAGATTCACATGTGTTTTTTCGAACTTTCCATTAATAGTAAGTCAAACATTATATTTATTTGGTCAAACTTTCTATTAATGTACTTTCCAACAACCTCTTTATATATATATAGATATAGATTGTTACTTGGTTGTTGTGATATTTAGTTTGGTTGGTGTCGCAAAAATTCTAATCTATATATATAATAAGAATAATCATTACGATGCAAATTAGAAAAATATTGATATTAGAAGAGATTGTGTTCATGGCTTTTTCTAAATCAAAGTTGTTTAATTAGTATACAATATTAAATTCTAAAAAAATATATGTGTATACTTTGTACATTATTTATACACTATTTAATTTTAAATTTATTTACATATTTTAAATTGATTACTTATATAAATAATACCAACGTGCATTAAATATATTTCATTACATAAAATAAAAAGAACAAGAAGACGTGTAACTTGTATAACTTTATAAATAATAATGACATTATATGGAAACAGAGTTTAATAATTAACTATTATATAGTGAAAAAGAATAATCAAAATTGTTATTTTCTCTTATATCAAGGAATAAATATATATAATAAAATTAAATTTATATTAGTATAAATGTGTTAGTGAGATAATATATTAATTATTTTACAAGTTAGCCCTAACATGCTCACGTTTAATGTTCTGACTAATAAAACAACGCTGATTAAAAGATGTGAAATATAGATTACAACCCTATTTTTTTAGACTTAACAGTGATTAAAAGAGGTAAAAAATAGATGATAACTCTTTTCAGACTTAAACGAGACTTAACGGTGATTAAAATAGGTGAAAAATGGATAATGACCCTTCTCAGACTTAAACGGACAGAGCCTGTGAAAACATTTAATTTAATATCTCTCTCACGTGTATCGCACGGGGTACGTACTAGTCTTACGATAACAACCCTTGAAAGTATTTAGCGACTTTGGTGTTATCAGACCTGTTAGAAAATTCATGAACGTGGAGAAAGAGTATCATTAGAATACTCTCCTACTTAAAATGGAAGGAGATTTTGGAGCCTTTAACTTCATCGAATCTTGATAAAAAAAAAAACTTCATCTAATATTGATCTTTTTGGTATCATTAGAATATTTTAGGGAAAACATAAAGGGTGAAAGTGAATCCAAGACAAGAACCAATTTATCTTGCTTGATTTATTGCTTGATAACCAATCAAGAACTTCATTGAGCAAGCACTCTGAATATATACCTGCATTAGTTAACTAGTCAATCGATTTCACGTTCTAATACTTCTACATTTCATTTCATACATATTAATTGTAGAGTGTAACCTTGTTTATTCAATAGATCAATGTAGTTAATTACATTAATTCGTCATATAGCTTAATTATTTTTTTCGCTCATTGGCAAAATGCAAAGTGGAATAGGAAATCTGAGTCCGAACAACATTACCAAAGAAGAGTTGCACCCCATAGTTTGTTCTAATACGTATATACGGTATATATACACAAATTAAGAAAAAAAAAATAAAAATGAAAGATTCTGATGAGACATTCATTAAATAAGTTATACCTACTATATCTAACCCATAGTTAATTTCATGTATTTATAATTTTGGGGAAGGGAAGAAAGGGATAAAGAAGGGCAAATTGTACAACCTCACTAAGCATGCGATGGAAATCTCTGACTTCTGAGGCTCTTTGCTGTCAGCTATGAAAAATGAGGCCCTCTGTGTTCTGAAAATAGGGCCTCCACAATGGCTGTATTTGTTTTAGTTAAATTTTTTTAAAAAATCACTAATATAATTTAATTTTTGCCTTTTAATTAGTCAACCATACTTTCTTACAAAACATTAAAATGTCATACTTTTGTTTATGTTGTATTTTAAAAAATTATATATTTGACTGTAAAAGTATGAATATATTGTTGGAAGAGTATGATTATTCAACAATTAGACATCCTAACAAAAGACATACGGGTGTGTTTCACTTCACACACATGAAATAATTTGTTTGTTAACTAAAATCTATAATATAAAGAGGTATTATTATAAATTTATAACCTTGTTGTCATGCCTCTCACATCCCACAGCGTAAAGCTCACAGTTTTATAATTGAAGGGTGGGAAATGGTGAAAAAATACATTACAAAGAGTATTTGGCAAGATTGAAAATTGGTTATAATTGAAGGGTGGGAAATTCTATTTTCCTGAGATTGTGTCCTTTGCGGACTTAAGGGTGGAGGCTACAGAGGCAGCGGCATTGGCCAAGATGCTGCCGCTAGTACTGTTGGAAGAGTTTGGCGGCAAATGTGGCTGATGAACAATTTTAACCGAGTCCAACTGTTGTTGACTTTGACCAGCCGATACACGATAATCCACAGTCTCAACCGTTCTCTCAGCTTGGCATTGACCATCACTAGAGTTACTAATCCCCTGAAATTATTTCAAGTGTTTTGGTTATCGTTCATGTTCAATTTTAATAGTATCAATATGTGTAATTTGTACATAATGAGAATATTATGGTATGGGGGCAATCACAGAATAATGTGATCTAAAANAAAAAAAAAAAAAGAAATGATATTTCTAAGATTTGAGCACAAGAAAGACCAAGAAGAGAAAGGAAAGAACAGAGAGAGAGATAGAAGAAAGAAAAGAAAAAGAACAATTCACTAGCTGATGAGGGTGTACCTTATTTGCTGATGTATTCATATTGTGCTTCTAGCAATTTGATTTACAGAGGTGATTGAGTTTTTTAAATGCTTGTGTGCTCATATGTGATTTATCATATTTTGTTTGGAGAATAATTTTAACCAACTTTGTTCCAAATAGAATTGGTCTCTGGCTAAAGAGTAGGCTCCGGGTAAATCGTTATAGGCAGCCATATTGCCATCAAATTTTAACAAACATGTTTAGATACCACAGGTTTCATCCACTGAAATCCAATATCTTCTTTTGGTGTCTGGCTAAGTCATCTCCAAGTGTAACAAATACACTATATACACACATATTTGTTTTTTCATCGTCTCTCGAGCTCTCCTTCTCCTTTATCGTGTTCATTGTTGTTTTCCGATCCTTGATCTCAATAAGTTTTAACGAGTGAACTCGAGTCATAACAATCCCGTGCATAAAAAAAAAATACTTCTAATTTCGATAGTAAACATTAAACGGTCTCCAGTTCTGTTCATTTTCTAAACAAGCCGAGCCAAACTGAGCAATAATGTACCCGACCCTACTTATAACCTCACTACTTCTAACCTCACATTAAACTTAAAATTCATGGCCCCCAACCTACAATAATTATCATAATTGTATTTCACAAAATTTGTTCCATAGCATAATTAGGCAACCAACGACACATACTAAT